GACGTCACGAAAAATCTCTTCTGAATCCGTTTTAAATCAATTTCGTAAGACGTTTGGGGGGAAAAGAGACCTTTATTTTGTCCTTACGTACAGATGTCACGCAAAAACATTGTTAAATTGCATGTGAAAGCGGTCAAACTGGATATTTTCTCTGAAATATGATACCCGGAATTTTCACGATACCCTTTGTTAGGTACAAGAAAGTAAAAATTAAAAGTTTATCATTCTCTGTAGACATACTACTAATTTTATATCAATCAAAATTTTAACACTTATACTCTCTCTGTCAACTTTGCCAAAAAGTACAAATTAAGCGAGTGACGTTGGCAATTCATTCATTGCGCTGTATCAACCGTATTCCTTTCGACTAGATAACTAACCTGGACTTCGGTGAGTTTCTGGTTTTTTTAGTTTAGAAATCACTTGTAAATTACGTTGGTTAGCTATTGAATATCCAAAGCACATACAGGCTATCTGCTTAAAAGGAGGGATACCTTCATTGAGGCTGTTATTCATAACCTGGACTTCGGTGAGTTTACGGTTTTCTTAGTTTAGAAATCACTTGCAAATTACGTTGGTTAGCTATTGAATATCCAAAGCACATACAGGCTATCTGCTTAAAAGGAGGAATACCTTCATGGAGGCTGTTATTCATATTACACGTGGGAAAATCGCGAAAACTATGCAACCAGCTCTTTCGCCTGGGTTCGTTTCCGGGACAAACTATCGGCAGTTTTTAACCGCTTGCGACTACTAGTGGGCCTGCTTAAATTTAGAGCCAGATTATTAGATTTGTAAAGTATCTCATGTTAATTAACCAATTATTATGATTCAACTCTTCACTGTAACTTCTTCTTTCCGTATTCCATATCAGAAAGCGAATTAGCTTTTTGTGTATTTAAGCTGAGCATTCTGAATCTTTGGTGTTGAGAGCTTCTGGCAATCGCGTTGTGCTGTTTATATTTTACCCAACTCTGTTTAGAAATTATATTCCGGCTTTAGCCTTCTCGCTAACCGATGCTTACGCGTCAGTAAAATATATGAGCCGGGTTATTCTATTTAATGTAGTTTCAGACTCCGTTATCGACCGAATGTAATTGTCTGTTTTGTTAATTTAAAATATCCACAGTTTGTGGAAATTTCGCCTGTAGTTTATGTTCTGATACACAGTGAAATAAAAAGGTTATTTAAAACCTTCTCCTGTATTTCATGAATTGTTCAAGACGTACTTACTATCCGTCTAGTAGGATCTGCAGGCTTTAACTCTAGTTTCCAGCTATAATAACAACTCTACAGATTATAATTTACTATTTGTTTTGTAAATATTTAAATTATTATTATATTCTCAAGCACAAATAGCAGAGTATTCTTAACCCTTCATTTTTAAACTACCAACCCGTAATCCAAATGAATGTTCAGTTGCGGTTCCTATTATTGTTATTCACTTGGTGTTCTTGGAATCTCTGCTAAAGACAGGACGTTTATCTCCCTCTGTTATTCATCCTGGGAAGATTAAACAGGTGTTTAGATTAAAGGACATTAGGCCTCTCTTACAAGTTGAGGTGTAAATGCTGCAATTTTAAATGTTTTGTTGTGTAGCTGACTTAAATAGCTGAGAATTAAGCTGACGAATTTTAATCTTACGTTGTTCGTTTGGAAACCATTGTATTGCAGGATACTTCCCACAGCTCTAATAACCACTTCGTAGAACCATTGAGTCTGAAAATAGGTATGTGTACTTGATCATCACGCGTGTTCTCTAGATTTGTATCTTGCGATCATTTTCGGTTCACAGAATTCAAATGTCCATTTGTAGGAACGTTTTTCCTGTCATGCAAGAGATAAAAAGAAAGCGATCTGTTAGACCTTTGCCGAAAACGACTTCAATAAGCCTTTTCTTTATCTGTGTGGTATCTGTGTTAAAACAGAAAATTGGATGAATATATACTCTGCTACGTTTCTATTTTTTAATACACTCTGATTACTTAATTACCATTCTGTGAATATAGACTAAAGCTTTAATTTCTTGAACTTTAGTTAGTCTGAATGATTGTCGCAACTAGAAATTCGAAGATAAAGTAAATATCTAAATATACTGTTCGGATTGCTACTCATTCAAAGTAGAATTTCTAACGAAGTATGCCGTATCATTTGTGTGCTGAACAACATTGCAAGATGGCTACATGTCGACCGTCCCGTGATAAGCCGACTGTGGAACCAATTTCTAAGTGCGGATTAGAAAGGTTCGGTGGATCAGCCTGTCGAAGCCGTATCGAAGTTAGGTCAAGAGTTAACACTTGTTTAGATGACCAGTGTTGCGACTTAGTGCACATCGTAACAGGTCTGCAACTCCATCACAGCGAAGATCCTCGCTTATTTCTGCTACAGGAAGGACAATATCAGCCACGGGAGTCCGCAGAAGGCTGCTTGAAAAAGATGTGCACGCTAGGTGACCGGCATTGTACGTCGCGCTTATGTAGTCATATAAACTGAACTGGAAATAAGTGGAGGTCTGTTCTGTTCTCGGAGAGACTCGCTTTACTTTTCAGAATGATTCTCGACGTAATCGCATGTGGAGAGAGAAGCGAACACTCGGATATCTTCCGTCTAACATAGGGGAACGAGATACATATGCAATAAGTAATTCTGTTGTATGGGAAGGAGTATGTTAAGTGGGCGTGTATATGCTGCAGTGCTCAGAGGTACAGAGACGATATTGTTCATCAGTATACTGCAATTGGTGATACCTTAATTCTGCAAACAGATAATGCCCGCCCTCACACGGCTTGCCTAGTGCACCAGTTTCTTGAAGAAGCTAGTCCAAATGAACTCGGGCATTCTTCCGACGTTAATCCCATTCATATGCGGGTCACTCTCTGGAGATTCGTTGCTTGCCCAAACTCTAATGAGCTTTACATGATCGCTGGTTATTGCTACCCATGTAGCTAATTGACAACAACATAAACAGCTTGAGACGTCACTGTCGAGCCTGTATTGCTGTTCGGAGTGATCATACTAACTCACTACTTTTTTTTTTTTTTTTTTAGTATTTAAAGTTTATATCCAAAATAAGGATAATTTTTTTTTCCTTTTTATATTGCAAAATATAAATACTCCGTATAATATTTTCTTGTGTTTTTAAGTTATTACGTGGTATAATAAATATTGCTAAGTTTCATCCACTTTGCTTACATATATTTTGAGTTAAGTTTTCCGTTTGTTGCTTAACTTCTGAAAACCACTATATTAATATAATTAATTACGTATATATAATTAATTACAGTTACATATTATATAATACACATTTATATAATTACGTATTTACGCTGTATAATTACATTACTACGTTATATATTTATGTAATTACATGCACATATCCGTATAATTTCAGTACATACATATATGTACGTACAGATTATTGAATAATAGAGATTAATTGTCGTTTTATAATAAATTAAAGATTTAAAATATTTTATGTTATTACTTATTCTGTCTGAAAAGTAGCAAAATTGTAGCAACGGTTAACGTCTGTAAGCCTTAAAATGTCAAACGACATCTGTCAGCGACAACTTTAGTAGTGAAGATTATTAATGGAATTGTTTCCCTTTTACTGAGCATTAAAAAAAGGTTTCTAGGGATGTAACGAGAGCGAGCAGTTTCTGGGATTAAAAATATTTTGTTATACTTCAAGAAAGTTGTGGTTTCAAAAATAACACCTGTCAAAAATGAAATCCTTTGGAATAAAAAGAACTAAATAAATAAATATAAATAAAAAATCTTCTAACAGCTAGAACCGTATAAATAACCTGCGTGAAAGTCACTTTGAAATCGGGGCCAAGACAAATTCATAATAAGTTTTAAGTAGTTTCCTTTGGGGAAGGGCATAAATTGTGTCTAGATGCTGAAGAGTGCTGCGTCTTCCCGGAAAGTGTCGACTTAAGACATACCAAATTTCAAAACCTTGGCATTTAAAATTCAACCTGATTAAGAGAGAGCTAAATGTGAAGTCCAACATCTGTTTAACGTAGTCGCAGAAAAACTGCGCAAAATGGAGGTTATGATAAAACACTATTCATTTAAGCTGAGCGTTTTTTAATTTTAAATTTTAAATCGTAATAAAATGAAATATAAATGCCAAAGAACGTAGGTTTATGTATTTATACAAGGGTAAAATTTTGGTAATCTCCTTAATTTTTTTCCAGTATCTAATAACGTTAAATTTTTTTTTCTCTTCATTAATGTCTTCATAAACGTACATTTTCTTACGTCTGGCACTTCGATCGGTGGAATCAAAGCTTGATAACATTTTGTTGCGATTTTTCCGGATTGTCGATAAACTGTTTTTCAAAATACCGAATTTTATGGCAATGTCGTCTTCTTCACACGTTTGCCCGCATTGTCGAGAATGAGCATTTTTTCTTGAAGTATTCGTTTGGACATATTAATCATTCGATACATGATTAACTTTAAAAACCACGAAAAGCAGAAATAAAAATAACATGCAGCTGTTGCTTAACCTTAAGGAGTTGATGGAGAATTTTTAAGAATACGGTGGGTAATAATTTTTCATTCGAGATTCTTCCTCTCCTTTCATCACTCGTGTTGAATGGAATGTAAAACAAATAACGAGCCATTTGCTTATTTTCAGGATCGCAGTTGACTCAGATATAGGTCACAGCAAATGAATAATTAATTTTAAAATAGAAAAAAAAATCTCGAAAGTTATTTGTTACAAAAATTTGTTTAGTGGATAGTGTACTAGAAGAAAATTCACTTCTCGGGCAGAATCCCCAGAAGAAATTCGTTAAACAGAGTATTCGATAAATAGAGGTTCGAGTATAGTAAGGACATGTCCGAAACTAACGGTTTCGAAAATAAAGGCCGGAAAATTACTGCTCGTCCTTATACTAAGTGGGATTTTAAAGTCAGTGTAAAGTTAAAAATAATAAGTTTAAATAAATTTATTTTCATGTAATGTATCATGTATTTTCTTTCTGCAGAAGCGTATGGGTCCCTTCTGTTGCCAGACAGCAAGAGCTCTCACGAGACTCTGGGAAGTGGAGCGATAGCCAACATATTTCCCGTAACTGACAGTATTCATGTCACTCTTGGCTTCAACGGAATCTTCACTGCGAAAGGTAAGTTGATATTGTTACTTTCTGTAAAAAAAGAATGGAACGAAACTAATATAAATTGTGACTCTCTGCAAAAATAGAACTGAGCGGAACTAATGTAAACTGCTGTTTTCTGCAAAAGCAAAATGAAACGGAACTAATATAAATTCTTTCTTGCTACGAAATCTGAATTGAGCGGAACTCGTATAAATTGTTGCTTTCTGCGAAAACAAAATTGAGCGGAATGAATGTAAAACTTTGCTTTCTGGAAGAAAATAATAATAACAATAATAAATAAATAAACAGATAAAGACTATATCAGGACTAGTATTCCTTCGAATTACCTCGGGAAACAATAGGAACAGGGAGCTTACTCAAGCTATGTTCGTGTATGTGTGGAATAGACAGCATAAGTAAGAAGGGTTAAATTTACCCTTTATTCTCCACGATGTTACAGGTGTTTCCGCACTTCGGGATACAAAGACCAACCACTTGTGGTCTGAACGTAAGAAAATAAGAACTACTAACTAACAAAATTTAAAGGAAAGATAGCTTCGAAAATTTACGCAGATGAATAACCCTAAGATTGGCCTTTCAGATCTAATTTCCAAACGGTAAACAAGACTTTGCTCGTTGCTATTTAAAGCATGGGACTGGCAGGAGGTCATGTGATCAGATTTAAAATTATTTTTATTTCGTAATGTTTCTAATTAATATTAATATATAATGATCATTGATTTTGAAATGTTCTTTGATTTCAGATGCCAGAGATGTTCCTTTGGTGGTGAGCTTGTTCTATGAGGAGGAGGATGGGAGGCTGCAACCTATTTCGAACACTCAAATCACTCTAGCGAAAGCTCATCCGGTGAGAAGATGCATTGTTTAATATATCTCATTGTTCCTCATGCCTTTGTAGGGTCTTAAATTTGTAACTGAACAGCAATTCACGGCCCAATTCTTGCATCGACCCTCTTTAAAAGAAAGGTTTTCTTGATTTTTCTCTGTAAATACCGCATACAACATAATATTGTAAATAATTGCGTACAAATAATTTAAAGATAACAATTAAGCTAATAATATTGAGCAAAAATTAAGGAAAAGGTATAAGATACGTTTTATTATTTTTGTAATTTTATTATTATTATTAAATTTACAAACGAGTTTTCTGAAACAAAAGCACAGATTCATTCTGATGATGCAAAATTTCGCCTTTAATCGATGTGATGGCTGCACTTGATGTATTGATGCAATTGTTTTAGTATTTGACATAAAATTGCTTAATTTAATTCTTAAATTAAGTTCCTTCAAAAATATTCGTATTTTTTATTATGTTTTCGCTTTTAACTTTATATTGCACGTACTGCATAAAAAAATTATACATTAAAAAATATATTAAATTTTAAATATACCAAATCAGTAGTTCGTTATGCCAAAACCACCACGTGGTTCCTATGAACCTATCTCCGGGTAAAGGTTTTTTGTGCGTCTTCTTTTTCTTTTGTTACTTTGTCGTACTGTATTGTATTCTACTGGTTAGGTTAGGAGTTCATTTAGCAAGATCTTAGAAAAAGGAAATATATTTGGAAAAATGGTATATATATCTCACAAGGTTCAAAAAGCCCTAGTTTATGAAAACAACCTTTTAGGTTGAAACCATATATATAAGTGGAAACTGACATAGGATTTGCAGATTTAAAACTTACAATGCAAATATTTTAATAAGTTCAGATGTAAAAGTTATTCATCAAAAAAGTCTTGCAAGCTCAAGAGATGAAGTACAGAAACGTAAAATCAGTTGTTTTGGAAAATGTTGGGAAGACCGAGCAGCCATGCCACCTATATGCGTATAAAAATGAAAATGGAAAACTTCCAGTAAAATAATATAAAATAAAACTAAAATAAAAATATTTATGCAGTGTCAAACAAGATAAATCACGATAAAAAAAAGTGGCTATGTTGTTGAAAGCATTGATTTTAAGCTCTGGTATTTATGGAAAGGATTGCAAAAATGAAATGAAGGAATATTTCTTGATCGGACTCGATTGGGAATACAATTACTGAAGCCTTCCTTCTAAGGCTCATTTGGGAACAAAGTTGTTAAGGCTGCTTTGGGAATGGGCTCAACCTGCACTAAGCCCAGATTGCCAGTACAAGTTGGGCAAAGTGATTAATGCAACAGTTGAATTAAATTAAAACAAAAACTAGTAAAACAGTTAGTTTGAAAGGCAGCAGAAAGAAGCACGGGGCAATGATGGAGTTGCAGAAAATTCATAAAATCGTAGAGATAAATTTTAACAGTACAAGTTTGTCAAAAGTAACAGATTTGAAAAATTGCATGATCTAGCGATAATGAGAAATTTGTCGTATCGTAGGGGGAGGGAGAAATTTCCGAATTTGCGTTTAATGATGCTTAAAAATCTGAACGTACATCATTGATATTAAAAATCCATTAAGACTTTTTCCCCTTGTCAACAGGACTACAACAGTGCAACTGTGAAATTGGACCTGGTCCCCCACCTTCAGGAGCAACTCTCTAGCGGTCGATTCGAACTACGGATATCATCCAAGGACGGGCAACGTCACCAGAGTGGCCGAATCACACCCAAAGTCACGTGCAATGGTAGGTAATACAGATAAATTTTACAGAGGAACCCGCACATCCGGGTTCTGGAGTGATTATTCCTTTTGGAACTCCTTTTAATTAATGATCGAGAGGTTAGTTCCGATAATCGACGCCGCCCCAATACCAAATCATTAGAAGGCTCCAGTTGTGCTGCCTATTTTCCTTTCTCGATTTTTCTTGTTTTGCCCTCTTAACTTCCCCCCCCCTTCTTCTTATAGACGGGCGTGCGTGCAGTTATGAATATTCATAGAATGCGCGACTACACACGTGGCCCTTGATTCGTTCCATTGTGGGAATCTTGTGTTTTTATTTTTTTTTTTTTTTAATTTTTTTATTTTGTGTGATCTAGAACTTCTAGTTGCTGTTTATGTTCTCAGTCGAACGAGCGAGAGTCGTTGAAGCAAAGCGCTGCTCCCCCATTCCCCACCGCATATGTCTCTCTCTGTAAGCTTCAGCAATATGTTTCGTAAAATTCTATGTGAAAACAGTTTTCTTCTAATTCACACCTTTTGATTTGCTCTGTTGATTTATAGTTTATTTGCGTGTTTGTTTTCGAAGAAGCTGAAATCGAATTCAAAATCTCATCAATACAGTATACTCTCGATTATTCTGGTCAGTGCCAGGATAATCGAGAGTATAAGAAGGTCACGGATAATCCAAACTGTCCATTTTCGCGCATATTGCTTGTGTTTATTTTTCGTCATTCATTTTACTTTGTTCTTGAGAACATTTAAATATTTGTCGAATATCACTACGTCTTTTTCCAAATGCTGTTGTATAATTGTACTCGAATCCTCTTTGATCGACGAAGTCGAATAGAATTTCGACAGTCATTGCTATCTCGGGACTAATGTAATTGTCAGCATCTTCTTCGCTTGTATTTTCAGTATTATTCTCTGCCTCTTCTGTTCTTGTGTCATTGAAAGCATTTCGCATCACTCGAGCATTCAAAATTTGGCTCAGTCGAATAGCCATTGAATTCTTCCTCGATGTTTCTCTGATCGGCATATTCGAACAGTGTTCTTATGAATTAAAACAAATTCTTAATTCACGCCTTTTGATTTCCTCAATTGATTTATAGCTTGTTTGTTTGTTTGAAGTAGCCTAAAATCTCATCGATATTTCTGCATTTCCAACCACGCGTTTTGTAAGCTTGTATTTAATTCATTCATGTTTGTAGGATTTTATGTTAATTCATCAATTACTATGATTTGAAACTTTACAATAATTTCTTTCCATAGTTGTCACCAAAATGCAAATTAGTTATAAAATAGTTAAGCCGAAGTTTTGGATGTTTTAGAGTGAAATTCAGGCAGCCTCGCCTTGCATTTTCCGTCCTGTCGCAGCTCTTCCAAACTTATTCCGGCTTCAGACGTTTTACTATCCGAATTTGAAAGCGATTCGGTTATTATCTTGATCCGCCATAAGTAGACTATTTTATATGTAGTTTTAGTTACTTAAAGTTCAGTACAATTACTGCGCTACTTAAATTTGAATTTCAGTATACCCGCAAGTAGCGGGAAGTACTGTAGTATCTTCTATTAAATTGAAAAAGTAAATAAAAATGTTATTTTAACCTTAATTCAGACTGGAGCGATAATTCGCTTGTTAATCAAGTATTTTCTTAAAGACATTGATAAGCTTCTATACGAGGATAACCTTACAAGGTATTTGTTCGAATTTATTTTATTTTATTTTATTTTGAAACTGTTTCCCAGCTTAGATTTTGCACACACACTAATGAGATGAAGCGATTTTTTCAAAATTCGATTTATTTTTTTCTTTAATTTAATGAAGATGTCTTTTGCATGTATATTCGCTTCACGGACAAACTCGAAATTTCAAATCAATCTTTTTACACTTAATTTTATGAATGAAATTTTTAATTTTTTTAATAAAATTCATGTAAAATGTTTTTAACTTAATTTATGATTTTTTTGATAGCTGTATCTTTTTATTTATTTCTGGTAATTTCATTGTTAAATGTAAAAAAGTAATTATTCATTGTTAAAAAGATTTCGATTGAATAATTTGATATACAGCGTGATACTGAGACTATAAAGACAAATTTTTTTTTTATTTTATAATATAAGCGTTTATTTAAAACTCGTAAAATAATTAATGAACTAAAAAAGTTTATCATTTAATTTTATCGTAACAAAAGATTAAATTATTCTTTTTGCAACAATTCGTCTATAATTTTATACCGCGAATAATAAAAGCATGGGCCCCCAAATAAAGAAAATTCGGTAATCGAATAACATTGCCAAAGTACATTACTCAAAACAATTAGGGGACATTATGATTTTGGATATAAACTGCGAATGAGGAAATGTTTTCGTAATGATGTATTTGGTATAAATATTGTAAGGTATGAGAAAAGAAACAATGAACAAGGAAATTTTATTGATGATATTTGTCGGTAAACGAAAAATGTACAGTGTGTGCATATTACACAAACAAAAAAGTAATTTCTCAAATACAGATAAGTTTCAATAAGGGGTATAGTTCCCCTTGTTGAGTCCACTTGATTCACTTTTGTGTGAAAACTAGAAGAGTAGTAACTGCACAGGAGAAGAGTTAAACGTACCCTTTATTAATTCTTCAAAATTTTACAATGCGGACTTCGACGCTAACAAACTACGGCTCTTCTAGGGCGGCAACTGAAATTCCGATAACGAAACCAAAGATTTGAAGTTATGTACAAGTAGTATAACTAAACTACAGGTCTCAACTAAATCCCGCTGAAAACTAGTTGCAGCAAGTAAATGCAATTAAGCCACGCGAACCAGCAATAACTCTGGGGAGCAAACGCTTAAACAGCAGAGATGACGGCAGTAGCCTAACTCTTTCTCTTTCCTACTGAAACTCGGTTTTTAAACTTTCTTCAACGTAGAATTTTCATTCTTTCACGCTCGCTACAAAAATTTAAATATTCTGGCACTGACAATTAGGGGAATGAAGGCTTATAGGAAAGAATAGCAAATTAAATAAAATTGGTTATTTAAAATAAATATAAATCCTTACACCCTGAACAAAACCAATGTCGCACACCTACGAAGCGTGGAATCAGTGGGGTTCTCAACGAGGAACTGGGGTAATCTTTTCCACTCCTATAAAAGAGAGCTTTCAAATTGTTGAATTACTTCTGGGGGTAATAAGCGAACAGCAACCCTTCTCCCTACAATATCCCAAATATGTTCTGTTGGGTTCGTATATGGGGATTATGCGGGTTAAACCATCTGAAGGATTCTTTCGTCGGAAAGGAAATTGCCCACTATCTGTGCACGATGTAATTGCGTTATCATCCATGATAATGAATTCATCCCCGTCTGCTGCAGCGTGAAGGACCACAACAGGTCTGAGGTTCCTATACCGCTGAACCATTAGTATTCCATTCTTGATAATATGCAGGTCGGTGCTGCCAATAATAGAAATGCCGGCACAAACTATCACTCCACCTTCGCCAAATTGGACACTTCCATGCACAAATGCGGGAATATTCCGTGTACCGAGTTTTCTCCAGCTGAGAATCCGCCTATTATCAGATTAATTTAAAGACAAATATTAAAAATTGGCATTATATTTGTTGTTTGTTTTCTAAATTAATTATTGTTCGTCGTGTTGTTTTAACTTAAATTATTGTCTGTTTGTACACTAAGGAGGGACTCGTCTGTGAAGAGCACATTGCTCCACTCATCTCATCCCCATCTGAGATACTCTTGTGCCGAAACAGAAACTGTAGCTCTGCGAGCATACAAACCCACATAGTGGAGTCGTTTGGAACAATCTGAGTCGAAACTCTGGTATCAGTAAACCACTAAAGGTGCTATTGCAAGACAGTGGCGTTCATAGTGCGACTCCTTCTGGCCGTTAGTGCTAAATACTAGCCCTCATTTTGTATTGTTGCAAGCATACGATCTTGTTTCGATCTTCGGTGAAAATTTCCAGTTTCCAGAAACCGATTTCATAGTCTAGAAATGACACTTTGAGAAACTCCTAATGCTTCCACTACAACGGATTGCGTTTGACCTAACTCTAAACGGCCGATAGCCTTCCAAACTACCGATTCAGCTATGTCATCTTGCTGTATCATAGTATTCATTGTTACAAAACATATAACGCGTATCAATTGTTTTAATCTCCTCCAACAGAACGACTGCTGCAGATCGCTTTTCACTCCTTATTTAAAACGCGTAGTTTTCGACATCACAGACAAAATTTGCATATTTTCAGCTTTGTAAACATTTAGTCTCTTCTATTTCATTTTTGTTAAAATGTTCTCGATTGTATGGTTATTTTATACCGAACTCACAATATCCCTTAATTGTTTTCAGCAGTGTATAAGTTATTATCTTGATAAGTTGAATACTTTGTTGAGATAATCGTGATTTATAAAATTTGATTATTAACCTTAAAAAAGTGTGTATGAATTAGTCATATAATTTTAGATTTAAAACCAGCAATTTTATTATTAGTGATATAAAATTGTACATGAATTTTCTAAAGGGGAAAAATTCTTGTTCGCATAAAACTAGATAATAAATATGCTTTTCCTTCACTTCATTAATTATTTAATGAATTTTAAATAAAAGCTATTTTATAAAACATTTAGCCCGAAAGGCCCCGAAACGAAATTTTGAGAGTCCACGGTTAACGGCGAATCACTCTTCAAATTGCTGTCACCAAATATTATCACCCTATAATATCTTTAAAGAAAGTAAATAATGAAGAGTGTGGATGTACGTTCCTTGCACTGTGAAAAAAAGACAGTACTTTAGGCCATCAAATTTTGAATAACGTAGTTCCTTCACCCGAACATATGCCAATAGAAGCCAAAATTTTTGAATTTCGAAATTTTTATATTTCATATCTTCTAAAACTTTATTAAATTTTTGATTAACAAATTCACGAATTGAAAGCGAGGAGTGGCAACATTGTACGGAATAAAAATATTTTTATATCCAGTGCACGAGACCATCTATCGAAAGTTCTAA